GCGACCAGGCGGGGGGGGCGGGGCAATGACAAAAACAAGGCAAAAATTCCAAGAATTATCCCTGACCCTAAACCTAGCCTCCCCTCTACTCAACGATCCATGACGCGTCCCCTATACTAAAAGCAGCATAATAGTGGCCCCCACACTGAAAACAAGACACTTGGGGGGACCACACTAAAACCAAGACACTTGCGGGGCAAAGCAAGCAACAGTAGGGCCCTCATCCAACCCCCCCCTCTACTCAACGATCCATGTCGCGCCTCCTATAATAAAAGCAGTATAGTAGTGAGCCACACTAAAACCAAGACACTTGGGGGTCACACACTAAAATCAAGACACTTGGACGGGTACTTCTTTCCGACACCGTAGCGTTCGCAGATCGGGTCAAGCACGCCCTTGGGAATCGTTGACAACCCCGGCTGAATGCCCATCGCAATTTCTACCGCCATGGCATAGCGCCTACCAACCGATAACTCGGTGCCCCTTTTGCGAGGTGGTGTGCTGGGGGGCGATTCCATCGCTAGAGTGAGTAGTGGGCCGGTAGGGTACTAATATCAGATGGTTTTGAGATTTTTTTCGAGAATTCTCAAAAACAATCCCATAATATTTTCTCAAAAATATTCCCAAAACAGGCCAAAATAGGGTATATTTTGACCGATATTAGGTACAGAGATAGATGTTCGTTTTTTTATTTTATTTTTTCTATCGCTTCTTCTTTGTTATATCTTTCTTACAAACCCGACAATGCTACCATCACTAACACGGTTGCACCCAGACAATCTATTGCATTTAGGTACCCTAACTTATGATACAGAGGAAGTATACATACATACATACATACATCAATACCCGCCCTACCGGCTTGCGGGGGCATCCACGCCTCATGCCTAAGAAAATTCTTCCGCATTGTTTGCAAAAAAAAAACGTCGGTGAAAAAGAAAAAAGAAACGATTGTGAGCGATAAACATGCACGGCAAGGGTCTGCTGCGCACACGAAGCACGACCCCCCTCCAGCGCGTTTCTGCGGCATGATCACCCTTCTTGTTCTTCCGCCCTCAACCCCCCCGTATTCCCACCCTTTATTTACTATTGCACCCGCTTTGATACGCCCCCCCCGTGTAATACTTCCACCTTGAACTCGTAGGAGGAAACGTAGAGAGTTCCTCCTGTGTGACCCAAAACAAACAACCGAAGGTGTAATCAAAACAGAATTATATGCATGGACGGAACGAAAAACAAAATCGTCGGCCCTGATTGGCTCGGCTGGCTGGCTGGCTCACTTTGGGTTGAGCGCGAAGTTCCTCGAGAGGTCGTCGACGTGCAAGGTGTTGGAGGCGTGCCATCTTGGATACTTGTCCCAGATAATCTTGAGCGGTTTCACCTTGTTTTATTTTTTTGCGGTGAAACGCAACCAACCGCGAAACCCGTCGTCAAGAGAGACAAGGGACGACCACGGCACGGGCCGCAAGCGCAGCAGGGACGAGGCGGTGATGCGGGGGGAGGGAATGGACTACATTCGCGGAGGATTCGCGAGTAATGTTCGGACGCCACACGCGCGCGCCGGAGATGAAATTTACAAGAAAAATCCACCACAGCAGAAGCCGCCGTACACCAACACGATTGGGCGCGTGACGGACATGAAAAAGTGTGGGAGTGTGCCCACAGCTGGGCATGCATTGACGCTAGACCACTGACCTAGCATCCCTACAAAGAGTTTTTTTGGGGGGGGGGGGG